CTCAGGGGATGATCGCTTCAGATAAAGCTTGTAAGGTTTTTATATCCATAAGCATGAACTACGGCTGTGTTTTAGTCAGTAAGAGTCTGACATAACCTTGCAGCCGGCTGCTCCCCGCGCCTGGGAGGAAACAATAAAAATCGGCGGTCATCATTCGTATTAAAATATATATATATATATATATGTATGTATTAATTCATATCATGAACCACAAACAAGTTTACAATGTTGCTTAAAGTAAAAAAAAATATATCGAATTGATTTTGAGTTTGAGACGCAGTTTGACTTTGATTTAGGTATTTTAGTTGAAATACAAAGATTGATAATAATTGGTTTTTCTAATTTCCGATACAGAAAATAAAGACTCCTATTCAAATTTATTGTGGTAACTACAGGCAAGTACGGAACCCTACACTGCGTGTGGCACGACACGCACTTGGCCGGTTTATTACAGTTATCCTTTCCGTTATGCGTAACCTTAGTCGAATGTGTTACTGTACCCCTCTTAGCACGAACCAATATCGAATTTGAATAGTTGGATTCGGTCTCGATACGCGTTAAATGTCAAGAGGTGTATAATGCGATTCAACTAAGAATAGGACCGACTGGGCGCCATATTTTGACGTCATAGCTGTCAATTCAAACCAAATAGGTAGAGTGAGCAAAAAAATGTTGCTATTTAATAGAACTTATTTACTAAGATTAAGTGAGACTAAACATCAGATTTTTTAATAAAATTAATTTACTAAGGTTGAGAAAGAACACAACCGATTTCGAATAGTATTTCTTTATTAAGACTGTGTGAAAAAAACCATTAATCAGAATTTAGCTCTTCAATTTCGCTCATCTCTGCATTACCGCCGGAGATGTTATGAATAATCATGCAGGTCACATACGAACATGCATCCTATATGTAAACGAAAGTTTTAAATCGAGTTTCTGAACGCAACATAAAGTGACATTTGGTTGACGATTTAGGTTATTAACCATTCATAGCCAATACTCAATAAGTAAAAAAAAACAAATAATATTAATTATCAACATTTGTTATTTAATTGTTTGTTTCAAAAATGCTTGGTTTTCATTCTACAATCAGCCGAGTGCTAAAAAAGTGTTTCGAGATATTTTTGTAAACCGTACTTTTTAAGCGACATTTGACAGATGGAGGTCGTTGGCTTTCCTATTCTTATTTGAATTGCATTATATAGAAGATTTTTAACTCTGGTTACGCCCGTTGCCTGTGGCGCTGTCGAAATTCCATACAAAACTTTTGACGCGTATTGAGATCGAACTCAACTTTCGATATTGGTCCTTGCCAAGGGTGCTGCTGATAACACGTATTTATCACTTTTATTGATTATATCTGTACAAGTTTCAAGTTCTACTTGTGGTGTGATTCGTTCTCGTTAGTTGGGAATGCTGACAAGTCTTGACAACACAAGTTCTTGCAATAAATCAGCAGCTACGTAGTTAGCTTGTCCATTACGATTGTTTGAGGCAGAGCAGCTTCCTGCTGCCTGCCTTCGTCTCAATTGGATAATGACGCTTAGAACAACGCGAACACGCGCGATGTGAAGCGCCGGCGTTAGGGGAACTTTGATGATTTGAAAAGTGGAAGGAGGTCGATACAGTGATTTTTTTTTATCTAAAAATATGGCAAACAGCCATATCTCTCGCCTGATGTTAAGCAGCTACCATAACCTGTAGGTAAACGCTTGGGATAACAGAGTAGTGATGATTGTGCCATTGCGCGTATCCTGATCCCATCTCCTTCCCACTTTAGTACATGAACCTTACTCAATGACTCAAACAACACAATTCTTTTTCAAGAGAAAAACTGACATTGCTGACTGTTTGACTTTATTTTCGAAGAGTTTAGTAGCATTGGTATTTTTTTAAGAACGTAAGCAACGTGCTTAATTTGAGGGTCAAAGTATGTACACACACACATCCTTAACGTTCATTGCCTCAAACACCAAGAGAAATTTCAGTGATATGGTACAGTACAATACAAAGTATATTCATATTATTTATTTATTTACTATTAACCCAGCGAGAATTGAACACACTTTACAAGATATCTTTTTACATTAATGCAGGCAAACGATTTCAAAATTTAATTTTCACAATAGTAGTTCGACCTTGTCACTTTAAAAAAAAGGTACAATAAATAAAAGAGGTCGACGCCGTTATTCTGATTAAACGTGACAACGATTACATGACTCGGTGACTGACTACCGAAGTAACATCTCTTGAAAATAATTATGTAAAAAAGCTCGGGTTCGTTACGTTCCCAAATTCAGTTGTGTTCGTGTCGACAAAATGGTAACAACAACGTCACTCATTTCGTTACTCGCAAGCTCGCAGGGGTAGTTCCGTTGATAAATTGCGTCGTCTTATACATACGATATATATACGCACAATGCCGCCTGTCCGATGCAGAAAGCAATTAAAATTTGCATGTACACGACGCGTTACACAGCATTTGTAATTATTACTGTTGGAACTAGGTGAGGTGAGGCATAAAAAGTGAGCGAAAAAGTGAAGTAAGTACCTACGCGAAAAAGTAATGGTTAGGTCGAACATATGTTTTTATGAATTCTACGAAGAAGATTAAGTTTTTTTTTATTGCTGGTTGAATTGATACAAATAGCTTTGTGAGTAATTAGGATATCATGGACTATTTTCGCGTCTGGACTTCAGCGTTACTTAACATAGGGGTGGAGCCATTTGTCGGATCTATTTATAAAAAAAAGATAGAACACAGAGGTCCTAGATATATAAAGTCTTTGACTTAGAAAAAAATACAGATTCCTAGTCTATTGTCAATCATTCTGATTTGAAAACGATTTCAGGGTGTTACCCTATATAAATTTTTACTTTTAATTATCTTGTATTGTAAGTTGTCCGGTGTTGTCGCTTCAAAATTCGCAAATCATTTTCTAATTTGTAGATCTATGTCAAAGATCATCGACGTAGACCGTGAACATTTACTCCGTGTTAAAAAATTTCAAATTCAATTTTTTTATTTGCCATTAAACAGGGTTTATTAGCCGAGATTGTTCCACACCATGCTGAAATAGCCTTAAAAAGTAGTATTTGTATATTTTTTTAACAACAATTAAATCTACTTACTTTAGTTTCAAACAATTTACCCGTCTTATTTAAAGATTTATTAAAAATTCTTCGAATATGAAAATGCGGTGTGGCGACGTCGAGGAGGCGTTTGGTGCCTCCGGTGTGTCAGCTCGGGAGGTTTGGTGGTGAAATTATACAAAAATATCTAATGAGTCCGAAATCCATTTAACAGTTGAATTATAAAAAATATAAAGAATTTTTATTATATCTGATACCGTATTCTCATAAAGGTATAAATAATTTAATTTTATCTCCCTCATTTCTAGTCTTGCGTCGTAACTCGTAAGTTTCGAGGTCATTAACCCAAAGTATATCAACTTTAAGTTTTATTTTCTGTGTCGTTGACAGATATAGTAATCCGCTAGTCTGATCTGACGAACAGTGTGAATGAACTCTTTTTCGATCTCTCTTATCTACAAAATGGTTTGGAAAAGAACGAAAATACCTATTTAAAAGAAAACAAAAACCACGCGGACTAGGTAGTAGACGGGTCTCGAACCGGAGACTTTCTGAATGGCTACATATCTTTGACATCCGTCATAAATTCATAATGATTCCGGATTGCCAAGAATTTGTTTTTCACAGTCTCTAGACGAATCATATGTAGTAATGCTATTTCTTCACGCATATACAGTATGGGCAGCTCTTACGTTTGTTGCCAAACTTTCTTATTATTTATATATTTGACGTAAACGATGCATGCTTGGATGGCGGCCAATCTGCTGACGTCACTGTTTACATATATTTAGGGCTGCCAAGACGTACTTACTGTAATAAATTAATGCTCGTGAAAATATGTTTACTGTCTGTATTGTTCTTGTGACCTTATATAGTTGAAAGTTCTTATCTTAACGTGCTACTCACAATTTAGGTATATTATTTGTGTTGTGATCAAGGTACAATAAATAACACAGAGACTTTAGTTCGGGGTATTTTGCGATTGGTTGTGTTAGTGTACGCAAAAATAACCCTTGATTGTCTGTCGTTCTCATGTAACATAAATCTCACGATCAAATTTTATTTTGACACTGTCTTTAAAATTATTATTTAACTGTCTCTTTATCACTTATTAATAATCGTTATTAACGTATCTTGTAGATCTGGACAGGCTCTAAACAAAAATAAATACAGTATCACATTACCGCGATGAATAAAACACATTATTAGTTTTTCAATGATAAGAATAACGAATAACAAATTTCCTCTAGCACAAACAGGAGAAAGATAAACAAGTTACTCAAAGAAGTTTTATACCAATGGGATCACGTTAGAGACAGACAATGTTATTAACCTTTTATATACCTAACTGTGAACATTCGTTTTGCCCTCAGTATTTAATATTTTATTCGTTTGTAGAATAATTTGTTTTTCAACTTATAATAACTTCATCTATATAATTTTAAACTGTAGCAAGACAAGACTGTATTTTATCTCAAAATTTAATTTCAATTCATATAATGAATGAAGTTGAAAATGAATATCTTCAAACAGACATACACACATATTTCGAAGATGTCTAGCGTTTATCCATAAAACGACGAGACTGGCCTCCTATTGTGCACCAATCAGCACAAATGTGCACAAGTCGGCCGATTTAGCACTTGACACATCCGCTGCAATGTACTGGGCATTATCCTCTGTCCTGTCATGCCGTTCAGAAATATGTAGTTTAGGTATGTTAGTGAATGATAGATTTCACGAATTACCTGGTTAAATCTTTGTTGCCCCAATGACCTTGGGTTTTTTGAAATCCATAGCCATTTTTATATAAGTATCCTGTAGTCTGTAACAGCTCTTGTTTTTACAGTAGAGCATGTGAAAGTGTGTCTTAATGTTTTGACCGTTTATATGTTTGTTTACAGCATGAGGTCACGGCGGTGTGGTGTCCGCATGGAAGCCCAGCGGACTGCTGACAAAGCGCTGCACACGCTGCGCGCGCAGTTTCGCCGCGCTCTGCCGGAATGGACCGTGCGCGCCTCACGACGCCGCCGGACTGCACGAACCATCGGCCGCTCCAAGGAGGACCCCGCGAAACCATCGATAATGCAACCTCGCCCTCGGAGGCCTTAAGCGAACCAGAGACTCCGCGGCCCGCGCCGCGTGCGCTTGCCTCTATACCTGAGAGCGAACCCTTGCTCCGCGACCCACCTAGTGTCAGTGCTATTAGTGAAAATGTCGCGAAGAAAGCCAACGGTCGTCCTCTGCATGTGCAGTTCGATGCGCAGTCGCCGCCTGCGCCTGTGTCCAGTTCCAGCTCCAGTTCTAGTTCCTCGGACGATGAGGAGATCTCCATTGCGGAGGCGCGACCCCCCGACGGCGGCTTCGGGTGGGTCGTCGTTTTCGCTTCTTTCCTCGTCAATCTTATCGCTGACGGGATCACATTCAGTTTCGGAGTGTTCTTCCCGCATTTCCTCGAGTACTTCGGAGAAGGGAAAGGAAAGACTGCTTGGATCGCGGGCATATTTATGGCGATGCCCCTTCTGTCCGGACCGATCGCTAGTTTTCTTACCGACAGATATGGTTGTAGACGTATGACTATTTTCGGGTCTATCTTAGCGACACTTGGATTTGTAATTTCCGCCTTTGTAGATAGCATGGAGTCGCTATTCTTGACCTTCGGAATAATGGCAGGATTTGGCCTAAGTTTGTGTTATGTAGCGGCTGTAGTTATAGTAGCATATTATTTCGACAAAAAGCGCTCGTTGGCTACAGGAATATCTGTATGCGGGAGCGGTATCGGAACATTTATATTTGCCCCATTGACATATGTCTTGTTAGATGAATATGGATGGCGTGGCACCACATTGATATTGGCTGGACTTTTCTTAAACATTGCCGTTTGCGGCTTGTTGTTCCGGGATTTACCTTGGACTGCTACTATGAATGAAGAGAAAGCCAAAGAGAGGAAACGAAGGAGGGAGAGAAAAAGAAACAAACGCTACGGCTCATCTGCTGACAGCTTTTCGGATAGCAAAAGTAGCGCAGCTGGATCTACTAAAGTGGCAGACGCAGAAGGCGTGGAAACGGTGACTTCACCCATTGTGCCACAGTTCAGCTCGCTAGTGGACTTACCTACATACATGACTGGTGGCGAAGGCGTTTCATTAGAAGTGTTTGAAATGATGTCGAACCGCGGTCGGGCATACGCTATGTTAGCGCAAAATTACCCGGGTGTTATGTTGCCCTCAAGGAGCTTCAGTGACAGCGGAAGACTTCACGAGCAGTCTCCGCCGAGAGCATTGATGTCCCCGACTACTACGTCACCGGGCGCGTTGTCTCCTACGGCTGTGCCTGTGCCGGATACTAATAATACTACTGTTTTATCTGACAAGACGGCGACGTCTTTGTGGCTTCGCCGCCAGCACGCGAGTGGTGGCTCTACGAAGAAGCCGCCGGCTTTCCTCAAGGACCTGCGAGTGCATAGACACTCGTTGACGTACAGAGGAGCGATGCTCAATATTAACCGATACAGACTCCGAGCGTCGTCCTGCCCCAACATCTTTAGGAATTCGATGACTACCATTGCCAAAGAAAAGGTGAGTCAATGTTGAATCAGTAACGTTTTACACATTAAAGTATTTGATGAAAAACATGCGCTCATAACTTTGCTAAATCATTCTTGATTGTAATTACTGTTGCTGTATAGTCTAAGCCCGGTCTATAAGAATATCTTGACAGAGTCCAACCGCGAAGATAGCTGGTACAGCAGTTCCATAAATTGTAGTAAAAGTTCCATACATTAGTTATAGTGCTTAATAAGGTCATAAGCATAACGCAATGTTCATGTTAAGTAGCTCGATGGCGCAAGTGGTTAGTGCTTTCTGCTACGATTGTTGACGTTAAGCAACTTCCGCCGTGGTCGGTCATTGGATGAGTTATCAAAAATTTACTAGCACGAGCTTTTCCGTGCTTCGGAAGGCACGCTAAGCCGTTGGTCCCGGCTGCATCTGCAGTCGTTAGCAGTAACCAATGCGCACTGGGCCCGCGTGGTGGGTTGTGGCCCAACTCTATTCCATCCATAGGGAAACCCTGTGCCCTAGCAGTGGGGATATTCATAAGCTGATGATGATCAATGCTCAAGATCACGTGCGCTGGCCTACGTTGACACATTTCATTGTCGTACTATTCGCAAGTGGAATTCCTTGCCCGCGCACGTATTCCCCCTTTTCTACATTTGGGGTCCCTTGTGAGAGTGAAGAAACATTTCTGCAGGCCGGTAAAGTGAGGACGGTTAGTGTGGCAGTTTATAAATGCTGTACCCGCTATCTTTGCGTCTGGACTTTATCACCACCAACATCAGTACCCTTAGTACGAGTTTTACAATTACGAAAACTATGATAGTTTTCGTGGGCTCGCACTCGTTCTAAGGGTACTGATTTTATTGTTTTCGTTTTAATACATATCATCATCATCATCAGCGTATTAATGTCCCCACTACTGGGGCACAGGCCTTTCCTATGGATGGAATAGGGAGATCGGGCCATGACCCACCACGCGGGCCCAGTGCGGATTGGTGGGTGCTAACGACTGCAGATGCAGCCGGGACCAACGGCTTAACGTGCCTTCCGAAGCACGGAGGAGCTCGAGATAATAATTTTTGGTTACCCATCCAATGACCGACCACTGCGAAAGTTGCTTAAGTTCAACGATCGCAGCCGAACGCGCTAACCACTTGCGCCATTGAGCTCCTCTATACATAATTATAAACAGTATTTAAATTCTATCATTAAATCATTTGCGTCTTCTTAAATTTTAAGTATATTTGGTTACTTTTCACCAGAATGGATATAGAAACATAATTTACAATTACTTAGATTAGTAAATTATGTTTCTATGTCCATTCTGGTGAAAAGTAATACTATGATAGTTTAGTGAGCTCAAACTCTTACTAAGGGTACTGGTGAGGTAGAGTCATTTGCCTACCTAGCTATAAAAAAAAATACAATTTCCAGGTCCAATGGTACGCCGGCCTGTGGGACTTCTGGGACCTCGTGGTGGACGTGCTAGACTTCTCGCACTTTCTGAACCCGGCTTTCCTCGTGTTCGCCATCTCCAACTTCCTGCTGTACATGTGGTACGACGTGCCGTACGTGTATATAGCGGACAACGCGATGAATATAGGCTTCAACGAGTCGCAGTCCTCGATGCTCATCTCTATCATAGGAATCTTGAACATGTTCGGAGAGGTGAGTGAACTTAATATTTTGGATTGTTATTATATATATTTTTTTTTATGTTTTCACGCACGCCACTCATTAATGATCATCCTGGCAAGGATTTGGGCAGGAACATAACAAGCATTTGATTTATAGTAATCTGGATGCTCAATTTAATAGATAGTGCCTTTTATTATCTTTAAATAGAATAATATTTATTAGATAAATCCTAACCATTTTACATAATATTCCAGTGAATTATTTGTTTTATTTATCAAACCTTATTGACGATCAATATATTAAATAGAACAAAAGGAGGATTTAATAATGATATCATTCTCTACCAACATTTTATTATTTTTCTCTATTTTTTCGGGTAAATAAACAGTGACATAATACATAATATCATATAGATTACTTAGTTTTTTTAAATCATTTCGACACCAACTACATTTACCCCCGTTATTATGAATGAGTAAAACAGTGTTTGTGAACATGTATCTACTAGTTTTGTATTCGCTACCTATCTACTAATAATTGGTATAATTTCCTACTATTGTGTGCTTAGATTAAAACAAAAAGGGAAGATACGACACTCGCTGCTCAAAATTGATCCGCTTAAATTGTGGTGCATGACCACAATTAGCGAATTGTGGTCATGCACAACAATTTAAGTGGAAACTTTAGCGTTAGTCACTACTGGACATTCAAACACGCAGCATGTGTACTCAATGTAACAATATTGCGTATATTCTGTGTTATAAAGATAAAACAATGCCTTCGATGCTTTTACAAAGAACACAAATAGTTCACAATCAAATAACAAATGCCTCGGCTACACTTTTCATTCGTAAAACTGTAAAAACATTTTTTTCTCAAAAATCACGGTTTGTCGTGAATGTTATTTACGTAATCGCCATTTTGTTACCAAGAAAATAACAATACAGCTCAGCTGTGCAGACTCGGAAGCGGGCTCGCCGTTTCGCTCGCGCTGCGTTGAAGCGTACAGTTCTGTCTCGCTCGCTCGATTGAATGTTTATTTACAGACGTGTGCGTGTGTGAGTTGCTTATGTAGTTAAGTTGGAGCATTATATTTTATTTGATGCTCGTATGAGCGTACCGTAGCTTCCCTTTTTGTTTTAATCTAAGATTGTGTGTTGTGGTATTTATGAATAATGTTCATGGTAGTGCCTTACACAATTCTTGTTTAAATACATACACACTTCTATATTTCACGCTTCTCAACAGGTTCGTCTTGTTATATGATAAAACTTGAAACAACAATAAATATGCTAGCGCAAGCGGGCGTCACAATCATTCTAATATTATAAATGTGAAAGTTTGTATGTGTATGTTACTCAATTACGCAAAAATTACTGAACGGATTTGGTTGAAATTTGGTAAACATATTGTTTGACCTGGATTGAGACATAGATACATTAGATCCAGAAAAAAATTAAATCTCAAAAAACTAAAGTTTAAGCGAATGAGGTCACGGGCGGCCGTGCCGCTAGTAATGCGTAATTCTAGTAATTACTAAGACTACACGTGTATTAAACACAAGTTCGTCTGCCATCTTATCAGTAGCTGTTTCAACAATGAAATAAGGAATGTCAAACTTTTGTGAATATTTAATTATGCAAACAATTGTTGTTTTTGAGATACGGCGGTCTCGAACGATAAAAGTTTTTTTTTATATGATGTACTCTTACTCATTGTTTGATAATAATGAAAGCCTTGAAACTTCTACAATATTGTATACATGTTTTTTTTTTTTAATTTGAACTTTTTTATATTTCCCAGATAAATGCTTTAATATGTGTCTTAACTCCTATATCTTAGGTTCAACCTTTCCTAAGATGCTGGAAACAATGTTCAGCTTTCCTGTCCATATCGTAGGTTTTATTTCACTCCCAAGATTGGTATATCACTGGCCTATTATCAATGTCATCTGTTAGAGATGACATTAGAAGGCCTATACCTTCCCTGTGGATGGAATAGGCAATTACCCACCACAGGGACACGGTAATATTATCTATACAGTATTGTGACTCCGCCCTGTCCTTGAAAATAAATGCCTACACCGAGCGCTGTGTTGGCACGCGGTAGGGCCGCCAGTCTACAGTATTTTATGTAGTTTTGTTTTGTCTCTTTTTTCATCCTAACCACTTATTTATATATTATTCCAGATATTTTGCCCGATGGAAAAACCGAAATACCTAAATATTAGAAACAAATAACGTACTAGTAGATAGGTATATAAAAAGTATTCTATAAAGGTAAGACGACTTTCCAATATTTCAGGTAATTTAAAAAATGATAGAGTTCAAGCAACCAAAAACAGCAATTGTGCTATTGTACGATATTGATCGTCGTTTGTTCTTTTCCATACTAAATTATGTAGGTATCTACTTAATTAAATCAAATATTTACAATACAAAACGCATGTTTAAGCACGGCTAACTGCATAAAAAACAATTCAGACCGTTCGGTCGTCATTGCGGCGCGGCGGCGCATTCGCGACTGGGTGCACGCCGAGAGCACATCGAACTCGAGTGGCGTAGGTATGACTCGCTTTCCGACCGTTTGTATGAAGATAGAATACTGTATGATATTATTACCGTGACAGGGACCTTGCTGCTAACGACTGCAGATGCATCCGGGATCAACCACTTAGTGTTTTTCGAAGCACCATACATGATTAATTTTCACAACCAATAGAATAAAACAATATGTCACTTCAATCGACGTTGCCGATCGCACCTTTAACAGTATATTAAGTTCTATAATTGTTTTTTCAAAAATATTTGCATCTTCAAATATTAATCTACGTTACCTTCAAGTTAAAAAATCCTTAAGCGATAATTTTAAAGAATTTGGCATAATGACGGTCGCATCACAATACATATATGGAAACTTGTAAGACAAAATATTAATTTGTTTCTTAAAAATAGTGATGTTCACACACTTAATGCAAGAAACAAAAATATCTTAACTTTACCTGCTACTAGCCTTCACAAAATCAATAATTCATTTAAAGGTCTCCAACCAACCATAAATAAATTCGAAGATAGTATAAAAAAAAACACTTATTAACAAAGCTTATTACAAAGTCAGACAATAATGCTTGGGTTTGAACTGTTCCAATCATTCTAACAGGTTTTCTATATTAAATAAATCATGGTTGTATTGACGTTGTAACAATATAATTATTTGTAAATGTTGCTACAATATACATTTAATGTTGTGGAGATTTTTTCGCTCCTCGTTTTTCTCCGCAGCTAAAAAATATGTCCCATAACGAGTGGTAGGGGGAAAAAAAATTGGACGGTTCAAAAGAGTTGTACTATACATCCAATTTGAATAAAGATATATTGATTTCTGATTTCTTTCAGATCTTACTCGGCTGGGTGGGCGACTGGGAATGCGTAGACGCAAGCTTAGTCTACGCGGGTTGCATGGTGCTATGCGGGGTGGTCACATTGCTTGTACCATTACTGACTTCATACTCGGGGCTGGCGGCAGCTGCCGGCGCCTTCGGCATGTTCATAGCGGCGAATTACTCGCTGACCAGCATCATACTGGTGGAGCAGATCACTTTGGAGAAGTTTACGAATGCGTACGGCCTGCTGCTGCTCATGCAGGGCGTGGCCAACCTGATAGGCCCGCCGCTAGCAGGTTAGTTGCATTTAAACATAGGTATACGCTAACTAGCATCATCTTAGGCGAACAGTGATCACTTTAGCGTATGGATTGCTGCTTCTGATACAGGGCGTAGCGATTCTTATTGGACCACCATTAGCAGGTTAGTCACATTTCATCATTATGACCACCATATATATTTTTTTCTTTTATTTTGGCAACAAACAGTCATATATTTTACAAAAGTAACTTATGTTAAACATTTTTTTATGAAATAGACCTAACAGTGCCTAAACACAATATTAAAACAATAGGGAAGATGCAATATTTTTATTTTTGTTTTCATTTTAAAGAATTCCATGTAGAATAAACTACAGATATATTAAAAAATTAAAACATTCTGATTTATCGGAAAAAATGCGGTTTTAAATTGACAATAGGGAAGATGCAATATTTTTATTTTTGTTTTCATTTTAAAGAATTCCATGTAGAATAAACCACAGATATATTAAAAAATTAAAACATTGTGATTTATCGGAAAAAATGCGGTTTTAAATTGACAATTTAAATTTTCGCGCGAAAACGAACCTATGGTTGCGATGACGTCACTCCTGTCTGTCACTGGTCGTAATTGTTCGTTGCTGGGTTTAAATTTTCATACTTTTGCATATTTTTTCGACTTTCGAAATATTTTTTTGAAAAATTTAAAATGGACTATCCATCAACATCATGTGATCATAACAATACCATTAATATTCCGAAAAAAAGTCGTGTTGACTCATGTTTTGTGCCAATCTACTTCAACAAAGTTCCCAAATAAATTGTTTTTGACTGGAACTTCTGACCCAAAACTGAAAAAAAGTGGTTTCAAGCTGCGAAGAGAAATGACAATTATTCTCCAAAGACCATTATTCGATGCTGAGAAGATCACTTTGACGTAAGTCGGCGAATATACTTGTTATATGCTTAATTAATCTGCTTGTACGTAAAAACGCATTAGTAACCTACCTAATACTTACAAAACCTGTCTATAACATATTTTTAATTTTACAGTTGGAGAATGACGTCGAAAATTAGATAAAGTTTAAAATGTATGGCACAATCTTCACAGTGGCAGGTCTGAACCAAGCTTTGCGTTTCATTTAAAATAACTGTATCACGATAACCTTCTTTACGTACTTTATGCTCCGGAGAACTCGACCTTTTACTGTACATAATTTTCCATCTCTTTTAATTTGGACATAGCCGAATGCATTATCGCCGTAAGATTTGTCGAAGCCACTGAATAAAATACGAAGTTTAACAACTACGATTTTTACATACCGTAGTAATTTAGTCCCTTTCATTTCTACACTTAAAAACTCTGCACTTTGGACAAAAAAAGTTATAACCATGTCAACGCTAACTCTTGGTAAATTCCTGGAGTCTGCTTTGATAAACGCAACTTCCATTTTTATTAAATGTAAAAAAACGCAATAAATATTCCCATAAAATAATATTTACTTTAACAACCATAACCACAAAGAAGTTGTCATAACAGGAGTGACGTCACTAAACGCTGATTGGTGTTTTAAAATACGTTCCGTTTCAAGTATTTTTAGTTCGTAATAATTGTTAAAAAACAACATTATGTAAAATAAAAACGTTGCAGTGGCATTTCTTTTATATTTTTTTAACATTATAATCATAAAATTTTCATAAATATTATATATGCATCTTCCCTATTTAAATTTTCGCGCGAAAACGAACCTATGGTTGCGATGACGTCACTCCTGTCTGTCACTGGTAGTAATTGTTCGTTGCTGGCTTTAAATTTTCATACTTTTGCATATTTTTTCAACTTTCGAAATATTTTTTTGAAAAATTTTAATTGGACTATCCATCAACATCATGTGATCATAACAATACCACTAATATTCCGAAAAAAAGCCGTGTTGACTCATGTTTTGTGCCAATCTACTTCAACAAAGTTCCCAAATAAATTGTTTTTGACTGGAACTTCTGACCCAAAACTGAAAAAAAAGTGGTTTCAAGCTGCGAAGAGAAATGACAATTATTCTCCAAAGACCATTATTCGATGCTGAGAAGATCACTTTGACGTAAGTCGGCGAATATACTTGTTATATGCTTAATTAATCTGCTTGTACGTAAAAACGCATTAGTAACCTACCTAATACTTACAAAACCTGTCTATAACATATTTTTAATTTTACAATTGGAGAATGACGTCGAAAATTAGATAAAGTTTAAAATGTGTGGCACAATCTTCACATTGGCAGGACTGAACCAAGCTTTGCGTTTCATTTAAAATAACTGTAATACGATAACCTTCTTTACGTACTTTATGCTCCGAAGAACTCGACCTTTTACTGTACATAATTTTCCATCTCTTTTAATTTGAACATAGCCGATTGCATTATCGCCGTTAGATTTGTAAAAGCCGCTGAATAAAATACGAAGTTTAACAACTACGATTTTTGCATACCGTAGTAATTTAGTCCCTTTCATTTCTACACTTAAAAACTCTGCACTTTGGACAAACAAAGTTATAACCATGTCAACGCTAACTCTTGGTAAATTCCTGGAGTCTGCTTTGATAAACGCAACTTCCATTTTTATTAAATGTAAAAAAACGCAATAAATATTCCCATAAAATAATATTTACTTTAACAACCATAACCTCAAAGAAGTTGTCATAACAGGAGTGACGGCACTAAACGCTGATTGGTGTTTTAAAATACGTTCCGTTTCAAGTATTTTTAATTCGTAATAATTGTTAAAAAACAACATTATGTAAAATAAAAACGTTGCAGTGGCATTTCTTTTATATTTTTTTAATAGTTTAATCATAAAATTTTCATAAATATTATATATGCATCTTCCCTATTCTGAAGTTAGGACATGGTCAGCTAATGAAAATCCAAAACTAAACCATTACAGTACACTATTGTATGACGAAATATTTATATCATATGCTTATACATATATATGTGTCTGTGTACACTTACCTCATACTTTGCGCTGGAGGCCGCTGCCGGCGTTTCGGCATCATAGCGGGGCTAGCATCATATTAGTGGAATAGATCACTTAGGCCCGATAACAGAATGACTACTAAGTGTTGATCTTTACTTGAGTAGAGTTAGAAAGGGATGTCGCTATGTTGCTATATATAGCGACATCCCTTTCTAAGATGCTGGAAGCAATGTTTCCAGCATCTTTTCATATACTCCCTTTCCTAGTGTTCCAATATGTTTTTATTTATTATTTATTTATTAATTGATCACCAACAAAGTTACACCTAGACATTTCTTATTTAGACATTTAAAGTACGAAACTTTATTAGTGGAACTTTAATTATAGGCGATTACGACATGCAATTTACACTTAACTAGCAATGAAATCTTATAAAATTTTGATAATTACATTAATTTTAATACAAGGCAATTATGAATAAAAAAAATGTCAATAATAGAACAACAACAATTTAATAAATTTATGAAAAATAAATTAACGAGAAGTAATAAATGAAAAAAACTATGTGAGCACAACCAAACATAAAGATTTTACATCAAAATTTACTATTTTTGTTACCAGGCTGGGTGTACGACGTGACCGGAAGCTACGACCTCTCGTTCTACCTCGCCGGAGTATTCATCGGTTTGTCCGGCCTCATACTGGTGGTGCTGCCGATCTGTTCCCGCGCCCGTAGAGCTAGCAGAGCCAGGCGGGCCGCTGCCAACGGGCACTCAAATACCAACGGGAAGCTGATCGTGTGAGCGAAATGTTAATAGCAACGACATGAGCTCATCGTAAATCTATAAAAAAAATACCCTTAACACTATTATTATATTATACAGTAGAACGCCGATTATCAGAATTAATAGGGTATTTGACAGTGTTAAAAATAAAGTGCCAATTGTTAGCATCTGTGTTTAGAATGAAAATTGGCAGGGGTTTTTACTATTTTTTTTTTACAATAAAAATAGGTATTCATAATTTTACTAAAACCTAACGAAAAAGATAATAGTTTTCTTATCTATTGTCACGTGACCCAAAACGATTGGGATTGGCCGAGTCTAAAAAGACGTCACACGCAAGTAAACTTCCAGTTAAAGTGACATTACATTGCATCGTTTGACGTTTTAATAACAGTCGTGTGACGTCACGCACCAGTAAGACGCCATATTGTCCAGAGAAACGTTTTCGCGGCACCTTGAAAATGGAGTTTTTGATTTGGTTATTTTTACTGAAATACACAACAGAGTGATGAATATCAACCTTTTACGGACTCCATAAACATTAAACAATAACGTCAGATCGATCGATCGATTCAGATAATCGAAAATTCGGATAATCGGACATAGACTGGTAATAAAGAAACACGAACTGTCACACATAGAATAAACCTTATTAAGTTTAACAAACACAGTTCTACAATACTAAATACAATAATAGAGGTACATAGAAGCAAAAAAAACCGTTCCACGCAAAACATGTAATATCTCGACTCTAGTTTTCAACCATAACAGTTGAAATATATCTGGACTCTAGCGAGTTCCAACTTGTTACAATGAAAGAAAGCAAAAAAACGCTTGGTTTTATGTTTTTTTATGATTCAGTTAATCGGCGGTCGGATAATCGGCGTTATATCTTTTAGCGGTCTTTGTAAAACATTTCATTTCATTTATAATTTGTTAGTCGATAACAATAAAACTGACAAAAACATGCCGTTAAAACTCTCAATATATCTAAAGAAAGAATACCTTTAATACAAACCATTGTCGAATTCGAATAGTTGAATTCGATCTATTTTATGTGTCAAAAGTGTACTGACTTTTGGTCTCATTGCGTCCGTTGTGGCGCTGCAGTATACAAAATTTGACAATGACATTTCGCACTCGCAGGCTATTCGAATTTGATATTGGTTCGTGCTAAGGGTACTGGCCTGGCCAGCGGAACGGGAAGCTGATCGTGTAAACGAAATTTTGGTAGCAACGAATTAGAAATAACATGGAATACGAACCATGCTATAAGTGGTTCAAAGCAAATAAAATAAAGGGGCGGGGCGAAAAACAAATGCAATCATGGGATTGGTTGGGATATCTATTTTTAACTCAATGAATGGAAAGCCGAATTCATTTGGAGATATTTGAATTGTATTGTCTGATGCGTGTCGCATTAGGATTGAAGTTCAGTTGTATGAGTTTGGAGCCATGTTTTAGCGGTCTTTGTTAGAGAGTAATGCTTTCATATCATTTATAATTCGTTGGTTGACAGCAATAAAACTAATCAATCAACTAATCAAAAATATACCGTTAAAACTCTGAATATATCTAAGAAAAATACACTCAGTCCAGGTTTGGGACAGGAATCGAACCCGCACCAACCGCAATTCGGGCGGGCGTAGGTTCAAAAAAGTCTATTAAAGCTGTTAATCAATGGTACGACTTTTTACCATGATAATCGGCAAACATTGCCCATGAGGTACCTTTTAGCGTCGTAACATAACTGTTTCACTTCGTTGACTTCGCCTGTTGGAATCATTTATAAAGTTTTAGGGCACTAACTAGGGTTATATGTAGGTAAATACTGTTTGGAACGGCGCACCAATAATAAATATAGTATTTGAGAAACGATTAGTTGCATCACTGATAAATGTCACCACGAAAAAGTTTATGAGAAAAGATAATCATTAACTAGCATCGCTAATCTAAAGAATTGACTGTTGACAATTCACGCAATTTCGTATTAGTTCCTGCAGTTAGTAAAGTAATGAAAGATCTATAGGGTAAGTTTATAGGTTCATCGTCTGCAACATACCAAGTTGATTTTCGATATTACGTGATCGTCATAGTCCTCTATCCTACTCTAACTTACATAGCTTTTGTTGCAGTAGAGTAGGACATAGGAAATGATACTATTCTCTGTTCACGGAAACGAGATAGTAAAGATGAAAGCTAGCTTTTCTGCCATTGGCCGATTTATACTGTTGTCGTTATTTCAGCCAATGACGCACCAGCAAGCTTGAGCCACTTTATTCTTATCACTTTCAAAATAGGTTAGGTGTATTTTGAACTATAATCTGCTCACGGAAAGAAGCTAATGGAGATTTTTCTTTCACAAAATCGCTTACATAAGAGAAAGATGGAAAACTGCGTCACTCAAGATAGACAATGACAGCCTAGTGACAAGAATAAAATGGCTCAAGCTTGCTGATTCGTCGCGTATCTCATATAAAAATTCGTATCTTTATACTGTCTTAGATTAATTTCAATAAACATTTCAATACAGTGCGATTCAAACTTTATTGTGATGTGAAGTTAGAAGCTAGCGCAATTATGCGCAGGTTTCAGGTTGACTCCACCGCCACTTGCGTTAACTTCACATCCGACATTGAGCTTGAATCGCATTCTACTCAGAGTTTACTTTTACTGAAACTGGCACTCCATTGAAAATCCCATAGACAACAGAAAGGGATATTTCAATATTTTCATTCAGTAATAATAAAGGTTTTTCGCTATATGTACAAATTATCAAATCATTACGAAATATAATCTGATGAATGATTAAAGGTTATTATTAAATAAGTAACATACAAAACACGACTGTATTTGGTAGAAAGTAGAGGTTAAAATTGTGTATCTGCAAATTTTTAGTGGAGGTAAACAATTTGTAATAAAATAAAACTTGGTTGTTATAATACGCGTCACGAATCTTGAAATTCGCCTAAACAGGTGTTACCAGCCGCAATGGTATGATATTGAATCAGTGTAATTTATATAATAATATAACAACAATACAATGACTGTATTTTTAAAATGTCACGATAAATTGTGATGGCATATCGTATTGTGGTGATTATGTTATGAAGTCGTAATTATAGTATTGTCTTTTACGAGCCACGACATAATGACATAATGAAATGTCGTGACATACTATATGCATACTTTGATTGAAGGGTTGATTACCATAGAGGTATAAGAATAGAGTAGGGGAGATATAGACTCTACTACAAGTGGAAGTGTCCCTCTAATAGAAAGAGAAAGAAGATGAGAGGCCGCTAGCTTTCGCTCTCTAACCGCGCATGCGCATTGGCAACCGTAAGCATCTTACTATTTCGATTTGATGCCATGGGATGCCATGCGTCACAAGAGAGAGAGATAGTTAGCGGTCTCTAATCTGCTTTCCCTTTCTACTAGACCAGTGTTTCCTAACCTTTCCAATACTGCTACTCCTGTAACCTATTAGGAAAACAGAATTTACCCCGACTTTAAAATGTTATCATCAGTCCAAGAAATACAAATTTGGCCGCATCTTCGTCTCTAATAATGTCATCATCAGGAGAAAATCTCACCCCGCTTCCCACACTCAGCACCCCGCGGGCTCACTAGCAAGAAGGAGCGCATGCTCTATTTAGTAGTATTATTTAGATTTGACCAAATAATTGGATTCTTTGTTACCCCCGAAGTATGGCTGATTTACCCCCGGAGGGGTAATTACCCCCAGGTTCGGAACCCAGGTACTAGACCAACACTTTTAGAGCCGCCTTCCCCACTCTATTCTAATTCCTCTATGTTGATAACACCGTTTTTCTCAGAAACAGAATAGTATCGTAATTTTTTTGGAACGAAGTTTTTTTCGGACGGTATGTCGGATGGCGGCTGGGCGGAAAATTTGTAAGATTTTTCCGGCACAACCTAGCGAGGTAGCTAGCTCACACACGAAATTTTCTCTTATTCACTGCTACTGAGTATACGTTTCTTTTAAAATTCGTTTTAAATCTAAAATCTTACGACTCGTATAGTGACATGGCCCAATCTCCCTACTCCATCCATAGGGAAGGCCTGTGCCCCAGCAGTGGGGACATTAATAGGCTGATGATGATGATGATGATGTATAGTGACTGCCACTATACGAGTCGAAAGGTTTTACATTTAATTATAATGGATTAAAGTCGATCAATTATCAATCCAATAAATTCAATTTTTAAAAATCTCAACTATTGAAACTGGGATTTATTAATATCTAATTAGACACTATTAATACTTAGTCTTATACTGGCACTTCACTTGGCTATTATTCGTGTTTGCTATCAATGTAAACTAGACATCAGTCTGTCCTTTTCATTCCTTTTAAAGCATGATAAGGACAAACTGTTGTCAAGTTAACAAATAGCAAATACGAATAGCCAAGTTAAGTGCCAGCATCAGAATTTATAACTGCACAATCTCATAATTAAAATACCAGTTCTTGCCATAATGTTAGGCACTTAATGACACGTGTTTTTATTAAGACCCGGCTAACCTATAAATTATATTGGGCCGTAAATCCTTTTACTATCATAAATACAATAATATGGTAGATGCTATCAGTTTGTAACTACAATAAAATTTTAATTCGATATAATTTTGTAAAGTGTAGTTCTCGTTATAAAGACTAGACTATATATTACTTATATATATAATATATATATATCTATATTTAATTCGATATATAAATAGTTTTAAGTAAATAAATGAACGCAACGAAAGCTGCGAATTTAATTTCAACTTAACAAGCAGTATTCGTAAAATTCTAAGCGTAATTACTTTTGTAAGTACTTGAAACTAGTGAGTACTCAATATAGAGGTGATAAATTAATAAGGTATGTAAAATTCTTCCATCGATCGGTTGTCGTTTACGCTGGGGAGCAAAGCAAATGGAACTGTAGTGGCACGAAATGTTGGTAACCGTAAATTCTTTATTTTCACTTTGGTAGACGTTCCAGGCGAGTGCAAGGTTCCGTAGTTACACGCCTTACACCAAGCATGAACCTTGACAGGGGGTCATTCGCCTAACGGAAATGCTTTGGAAAACGCTAACGCTTTCGATTTTATTTTGTTATTTCTGACCGCCGAAGGTTTTCAAATACCTCACGCTCACTTTTTTTAATATTGTTATTACCAATGCAAAAAAAAAGCGCGAGGCATTTGAAAAGCTCAGGCGGCTAGAAATAACAAAATAAAATCGTAAGCGTAAGCGTTTTTCAAAGCATTTCCGTTAGGCGAATGGCCCCCAGATCTGTAATCATATAGCTATCGTTAAATTTTCTATGGAAATAGCCAGTTTGTTCTTACATCCATTAGAGGCGCTGTTTAGTTTCCATAGACGACCTCTGTGGCCGCGTGGTTTATGCGCCGGGTTTCATGGTGTCGCCGGCTCGAGAGGTCCCGGGTTCGACTCCCGGTGGGGGCAGATGTTTGCGTGATGAATACGAGCATTTGTACTCAGTCATGGATGTTTAATATGTATTTCTATATACATATACTTATATATGTAGCGT